TCAAAGATGGCACATTTCGTGCCCCTGGAGAAGACCCCATCAGCACCGGAAACGGCACGGATCTTCATCAAGGAAGTGGTTAGGCTTCATGGTGTTCCCGAAGATATAGTATCAGATCGGGGGTCCAATTTACCTCCAGGTTCTGGAACGCCTTATGTAAATCGCTGGGAATCAAGCTGTCGCTTTCATCCGCCTACCATCCACAGACCAACGGCCAAACTGAAAGAACAAACCAGACGCTGGAACAGTACTTACGGTGCTACACATCCTACCTTCAGGACGACTGGCTGTCGTTGCTGCCTTCCCGGAGCGGAATTCGCGTACAACAACTCGAGTCACTCAGCCACGGGTCAATCCCCGTTCTTTTCCAATTATGGGTATCATCCCACATTTCTCCCTGATCTGATGCCTGAAAATCCGGTACCAGCTTCTCAAGACATCTTGAACTTCTTTTCTGTCAATAACAAGACAATTCAGGAAGCCATCGCTAAAGCCCAGGAGGACAGTAAGAGGGCATTCGACAGAAAGAGAAGAGGAAAATTACTGCTTCAACCAGGGGATCAGGTTTGGCTAGCAACCACCAACTTGAAGATGCTATGTCCTTCAAGGAAGCTGGGACCCAAGTTCATCGGCCCCCCCCTTTCCGGTAAAACGAGTGGTTAACGAGGTGGCCTACGAGCTCGAGCTTCCGCAGACCTTCAAGATACATCCTGTCTTCCATGTATCCCTCCTGAAGCCATCCAGACCGGATCCCTTCCCGGACCGTGAATCCAGACCTCCCGAGGCAGTCACTATAGGTGACCAGGAGGAAATTTGAAGTGGAGACTATCCTCAGTTGCCGAAGGAGGGGGGGCCAGACACAGTTCCTGATAAAATGGAAGGGGTATGGCCCTGAGGAGAACTCATGGGAACCCGCCCAGAACGTCCACGCGCCCAGGCTCATCCGGGAGTTTTTTCGTGCTCACCCGCGGTGGAGAGATCAGTGGGGCTCCCGGAGGGTGCCCATTGGGGGGGGGCAATGTAAGGGACCACGGCTCCAGGGTCCGCGATCGCGGCTCCGTCCCTCGCTCATGCGCAGTGGCGGCGGATCGCGCCGGGACACGGGCACTAGGTCCCGGCGAGCCGCGGCTGACAGGACGCCGCGCATGCGCAGTAGGAGCCGTGGGCGCGCCTCAGGCGTCCAATGACAGCCGGGGGCGCGTCCTAGCCGGCCAATGACAGTGCAGGGCGCACTATTTAAAAGATGCCCTGCACTGTCACAGATTGCCGCAAGGTCTTCTGTGATCCTGAGTTCCTGCACCTATCCTGTGACCCTGATTGACCCTGACTATTCTTCCTGCTCCTGCGTTTGACCCGGATTGTCCTGACTACTCTGCCTGCTCCTGCGTTTGACCCGGATTGTCCTGACTATTCTGCCTGCTCCTGCGTTTGACCCGGATTGCCCTGACCATTCTAACGGATTGACTTCCCTGCTGACCCTGCGTGTGACCCGACTACTCTCGCCTACCGATTCTGTACCCCGCTTACCCTCACGGGCCACGATCCGTTACTACCCTGCTGGGGCCGCCATCCTCTTCATATCTGGCTCTCCCGGTACCTGTCCCCAAGGGTCTCCTCAGCCACTGGCGGGCCTGCTCGGAGGTCGTGACCTGGCCCGGGACTGTTTCAAGTCCATCCCCACCATCAGGGGCTCTGGTGAAAGCACAGCCCGGGCTTAGACCCCACGCTCTGAGTAGGTCTGTCAGTTCATTCCTTGATCCTTGCTAAGGAAGCCTACATACAAGTCCTGAAGTTCTGCTGTATCCAGCGAAATGGGAAGGAAGTTGAGAGTGAGTGGACCCCTCCTGGAGGCAAAGTGATGTTAAGTGCCATAGAGTTGTGGGTCTTAACTTTAAAATTGCTCAGCTTATGGAACGTGACAAATTCCCGCATAAGGGAAGGATGTTCCACCCTAGGGTAGAGATAAACAGAAGATGATCATCTGCAAAAAGACCCATTTTTCAGTGAATATTATCTGTAGAAATTCCCTTTATGTCAGGGTTTGCTCAGATGGCTTGAGAGAGATGCTCCATTGCCAAAATATATAAAAGGGCAATAGAGGGCAGCACTGAAGTGTATAGGTGTAGTTTATGAGGGCAAAGGCTTTAATAGTGATGTAACAAGCTTCTCTGAGCGGGACGAGGCCTACTTGTTTTAGATGTATCCAGGATGGGACATACGCTTGGAGCCTATTAGCTATCAATTTGGCAAAAAGTTTAAGGTCCACATTGATTAAAGAGATGGAACGATAGCTTGTGCATTAAATTAGGTCTTTATCCAGCTTGGGGATTAGCGTGATATGCTCTTCCTGTTATTGTTTTGCAAAGAGATTGCTAAGGGACATCAAGTTAAATACTGAAGTGAGAACCGGGGCTAAGGTTTCTTTAAATTGCTTGTAGAACATGTCGGTAAATCCATCATGTCCTGGACTTTTCCCAGAGGGGAGAGAGGCTATGACAGCTTGAACCTCCAGGCTGTGAAAGGAAGGACCAGGTCCGAACGCGCTTCATCTGTCAGTGCTGTAGCATGAATGTAATTTAAGAGCTCAGGCAGGCTTTCCGAGGGATGAATGGGATTCAGTTGAGAAGAGAGATTATATAGTTCAGCATAGCAGAAGGCATGGCAGAGATCCCCTTTTGGAGAGGAAATGTTTGAAATATAAGTACAAGCCTGTTTTTGCTCTGATAGAGTTCGCTAGCATCCTGCCATATTTATTGCCAGATTCATGGAGGAAACAAAGCGATCCATGTGGTGAGCATAGGATTGGTCCAGAAGCTTTTGCAAAGAAGATCATTTGTGAAGAAAAGCTTGATAAAGTGGATCCCTGTTAAGTTTATGGACTTGCTCTAGAAGGTGAATATCCTGAAACAGTGAGGCTATCCCAGAAGATTTAGCCAGTTTAAGGTGTGTGGCCTCTGAAATCAAGGTTCCTCTAAGCATACACTTCAGTGTCTCTCTGGTGTCATCCGCAGCATGGTCATTTAAAAAATGGGAGATTGTCACGGTAGGAAAACCAAAAGCTTTAACACTGCTCTCTGATAAAGTGGTGAAGGCAAAAGTTCTCAAGACAGAAGCTTTGCTCATTCTTCATGAAGCAAATGCTGCCTGTGACTTTCGCCTTGATGCCTCATACAGTATATACAGTATGCCAAGATCATTCATGAACCTTTGTGGCCAGTTATACAATGGGAGAGGTATGCAGGACTTGAAAAGGCTTTTTCACGCCTATTGCTCACATTTCATATTTTACATTTTATAAGACTTTTATTATTATTTTATATAGTGCTGTAACCTCTCATGGTACTGCTACTAGCAAGAGTAATTAATTACAATATATATAAAAACCAATGAAGAAGTACAAGTGAATGCACAGCAAAACTATAGCAACAGCAATGTGCATTAGGAGTAAGAGGTCTACCATGGAAATCCTTTATTTTAATGTATTCACTGCTCAATATGAAGTTAACTGTGGACATGAACAGTAAAGGAATCATCTCAAACTCTTTTTCAAATGTCTCTTGTTTTAGAGGCATTATCATTAGGCTAGCTTTTTGCTATGATTGCTTGCTGTATTTCAAAGCATTTCAGTAAAATTTCTTTGTTGTTCTAAATGACCATTTATCTTGCATCAGACTTGGGACTTGGGACTTGAAGGAATAGCGTGCAATCAGTTTTATGTTGGAGTAATTCAACCATTGCTTCTAAGCAATATCTCTGTTGTACCCCATGATGTTGTTTTTTTTTTTAGCATAGACAGTCCTTAGTGCAAGTCAAATTGTTGTCTCTAGTGTCATATGCATGCTTTAACTGCCAAAGGATTTAGGAATGTTGTCAAGCAATCCTGACCTACACAGCCCTGCCAAACATTGGTAATTCCACTTTTTTACTGTAACCAACATACATCCTTGACAAAAACATACATTAATTAATTCAAACACAGCTCCAAAAAATAAAGCAAAACATTTTTGGCTGCTACAGTATACTCAGCCCATCCCCAGTGATTTCCCCCACTGATTTACCTATGCAGAACTGTCCCTTTCTTGACCAGGTTGAATGATGCTTATTGACATTTACCTAACAACAAGCACAGAAATCACAGGGTAAGGCAGAAAATAGCATCTCTGCATCATTAAATGGTGTCACACTGCCATCTTCTTCCACCGATGTGGAAAGTATACTAAATGCTGCAAAGAGGACCAGTAACATCATTGCACCAGACTGAAAACACCTGGAAAAAAAGCCTGGGATGTTCCAAGGGAGGTAAGAAAGCGGAAGTGGAGTTTGACCCAAGTCTGGAGTTTGGCTTTTGGCATTATAACTCATTCAGCCAAGAAAGTACACATTGCTAACAAGGCTCTCAATCAAACATTTCCTTGAGATCTGGATTACAAAGCACCATGTAACATCTTGTGGAAATGCCCTAAACTAAAAAGATATAGGACAAGAATATTTTCCTTAACCCCTTGCCCTCCTGAGGATTACAACCCCCCCCCCCCCCCCCCCTTCCTGACCAGGCCATTTTTTGCGATACAGCGCAGCGGTACTTTAACTGACAATTGCACAGTCATGCAATGCTGCACCCAAATTAAATTTATATCCTTTTTTACCACAAATGGAGCTTTCTTTCAGTGGTATTTGATTGCATGTGAGTTTATTTTTTGTGCTATGAGCAAGAAAGACTGACAATTTTGAAAATATACCAATATTTTTTACTTTTTGCTATAAAAGATATCCAGTAAAAAAATGTAAAATATCACATTTTATCATAAATTTAGGCCAAAATGTATTCTGCTACATGTCTTTTATGAGAAAAAAAAAATGTGTAAATTAATTGATCTATGAGAAAGATATAGCATCTACAAATTGAGGTATTTATACTGGATTTTTTTTTATATACTAGTAATGGCGGCGATCAGCGGGACTGCAGTGGGCATTCTGACACTGGGGGGGAACTGACTAACTGTCACTGACATCCCCAGTGACACTAATACAGTGATCAGTGCTAATAAAAAGCACTGACACTGTACTAATGACACTGGGCAGGAAGGGGTTAACATCTGGGAAGATCAAAGGGAGAACTGTGTGCTGTGTGTGTTTTACTGTGTGCTGTGTTTTACTAGGGAGTCATGCTGTTTTGTATTGCTCTGCTATGCAGGTGCTGACAGGGGAGAGATCTGTATTGTTTACATACAGACCTCTTCCCCATCAGTGTTCCTCGGTGATCACCGGGTGCCGGCGGAGAATCTCTGCCCGGGACCTGGTGATCGCCAGCTGTAGCCGCCAATGGTGGCGCAGGTAGGATGCACGTCCCCTACTTGAAAATACAAAATCACGTATATATACACATGCTTTTGCTCAGCCCTGCTGCCCTGTAGCAGTATTTCTACTACAGGGAGGTAGGGAAGCTGTTAATCAAATCTGTAACTCACAAAAAAGCTTTTCTAAATGAACCCATCCCTGAAATCCCAAGGCACTCACAAAAAATGTATATTTTATATCTTCCCTGCAGTTAAAAAAAAAAAAGTGCAAGATTGCACAAAACCACTTCCATGGATTATTTTCCAAAGGAAACTGGTAAGTATTTTGAATAATAGACAAACAGAATTTTAGAAAACTTGAAATCCATGGTTGAGGTACATTCAAACGTAGCCCTCTGAGTGGTACTGCAGATGAAAACAACAGTATTTAGTAGTGCTGAGAAGACGAGGGACCAAAGGGATTCCACGTCTTCTTTTTTGTTTGTCTTTATTTTTTTTTCTTACATGCTTTCCATGCTCTCCTGAGATGTTTAGAGCTACTGCATGATCCATATAGGTATTGATGTAATGCATGCAGTTAATGTGCATAGATTTCCACGTTATAATTACAATTGTGCGGATAACAAAGTACAACATACACTTTTGGCTGTAAATTTGCTGTTTGATAACTTTATTACACACTGTACACTTTGTTGAAAAACAAAACAAAAAAATAGAAAAGAGCAGCAGAAGACCTATTAGGCCCTTACATGCATATCTCATCCTATCAGCATACTTGTCAGATTATGTATATTTAGCACAGCTAATTGGCCCCTTCTGCTATTCCTTCCTCTTCAAGTCTAATTGCTTCTGAATAAGGTGTAATAGGAGATTGATACCAAGTCAAATTTAAAGTGGTTCTGAAGCCTAAACATTTTTTTACCTTAATACATTTCTTGCATTAAGGTAATAAATATTTAGGCATAAAAGTATCTCTCCTCACCCCCCCTTTTACTTACCTGAGTTCTCATTTTATCCAGCGCTACGCCCATCTGTAGCTCTTCTCTCTCCTCACGTCCTGGTCTCACTGGCTTTGCTGAGGTAGCAGGAGCCACTGGCTCCCGCTGCTGTCAATCAAAACCAGTGATGAGGGAGCAGGGGGTGGGACCAAGTCCGGCTGTCTATGTCAATAGAAGCAGAAAATGAGGCTCGGGAGCAAGCTGCTTCCTATGGGGGCACTCACCAGGAGGGAGGCAGGAGCGCTGCAACATAGTTCACTATGTGGGGTTCTTCTTCTTCCTTATGCACATATATGGAGGAAAAATGTTGTGCTACACATAGGGGGAGATTTTGTATTCAATTAAAGAGATGGAGGAAGATCTATGGGGAATACTGAAGCTGCAATACCTTTGGCCTGTGTACACATGTCATTTTGACTCACTTGCTAGACACAAGGGACCAAAACCATCTGGTGAGTGAGGTATGAAATCCATGTGGTTTGTCTTTATTAGAGGATCACCACTTTGAAGCATCCTCTACAGTATTTCAAGCACTGACACTATATAGTGGACTTTATATGTTTTTGAATTACCGGTTTGGTTATATTGGTGATACACATTGAAGAAGCGAAAGTAGTGCTGTTACCCATAGGCATTCTGGGTACTCATATGTAGCATCTTCTAGGTAGCTAGGTTTATTGTTCTCATTCATGACTACTTCATTGCTAGATCTTGGAATCTCTTTCCCAGTGATATCCTCAGTGCAGCCGGGTGTAGAGGAAGGATTTATCTGGGGTCTGAGGAGGTACACCAAGAGGACCTTAGCAACCTGTACACTGTACAAAAATGTAGATCTGTAAAAATGATACTGTCTCTTTAAGGAGCTCTAAGACGTTTGTCCTCAGTTTACAGTTTCTTGGGCATCCCATAAACCCCATCCAAGTTGTTAACTCCTTAATAAAAACAACTAAAAATACAGCTCAAGGACTGTATTATGTACTCTGTGTGCTTAAAGATGTGGAAAAATGTGTGTTGTCTGGCTGTGGAAAGCTAAAAGGGAAACCTAAATCCAGCGGCCCTCAAGAGGGTAGCGCTACACATATTATATCCATGCTATGTAACCAGCGGGCACTACCAAAGCACCCTCTTATGTCTTGACAGCTGTCATCTGAAAAGGAAAGGATGTCTCATCTGATCCTGTCCCCCTGCTCCTAATCTCCTCCACATTATGAGCACTAGAGCTGCAGCAAAGATTCATGTAGTGGTGTAGCGCTTTTAATTTGGAGGAGATCAGACACATCAAAGCAGCAGGGAGAGAGGATCAAATGAGACATTCTTTCCTCTCCAGATGGCAGATATCAAGTAATAAGCTGGCAGTTTGGTAGCACCAGCTACTTACTTACTATAGATGTGACCACCAACTGTGGGGTTCAGCTATCACTGGGCTCCTTCTCCAGCAGGTGTGGGGTTAATTTTTATGTAACCCAAATACAAAAATGCATACTTATAGCTAAACAACATGCCCCTAACATTCTATTTTTGAAATATAATATATACACTTTATTAATACATACATTCTTAAAAAATGTTTTGCATGTATATTGCTGCCTAATTTGTATCCATTGCTAGAAAATAATGCATCTTGAGGAGATCATTTTACCATGGTGTGTTTTTAAGAGTTTGTATATTAATAAAGTGTATATGCTATATTTCAATAGTCATAGCAACCTCAATCTCCCTTTTTTCATTCTTTATATTCCATGTATTATAAAGAGAATGTTGAGGGATTTTTGAGTTTATAAGGCTGGTTTGTAGTTGGGCTGCATAATAGTCTTTAACGGGAACTCCTACCCCATCTACTACTGATCTCTGAGCTATGTGTCACTTACTGCATCCCCTACTACTGACTTCTGCGTCACTTACTGTTGATCTCTGACCTCTCTGTCACTTACTACTGATTTCTGAACTCTGCTTCATTTACTACTGATCCCTGCACTCTGCTTCCCTGACCATGACCAACATTCAGCACAATACCACACCCAATTTTTCCTGCCAATCACTGCGGCTACACTTTCTTTTTCTTGCTGAGGAGGGCCCAACTTGTGTTTTATGCAAGCAGTGCCCCTGTGTGCAAGATCATCTCTGGTTGTAGCCTTTGTAATCCATCGGAAATGAAGTCCACAAGGCTGACACCACATGCTTAGGATTTCAGAGATCAATATATAATGTGCTGTCATCTCAAGTAGAAAGGTATGTGCCCATCATATTTCTTCTACATTGACAGTTATTTTTCTGTAATTGCAGAATATTTAAAGAAAAAATCTGGGGAAATTTGCATTTATTCCAGATACAGTATGTCTTAAATATCGTCAAGGAGAAAAGATCAACTAGTACTGGCAACACTAAACCATGCATGAGACATAGACACTCGGAAAAGGCCAAACAGGTTTATCCTTCACTTTTATTCAGCAAGGCAGCAAACACAGTTTTAATACAGGAGGGCTTTGTACACCTCTCCATATCATAAAACAAACAAAACATCTGCTCGTCCAAGTATAAACTAAGCTCAAGTCAATTCCTGTCTAACATGGTACCCATTAAATTGCCCCTAGTCAATCTTCTGACCCCTAACGATGTGTAGTTGAGAAACATGGTGACAAATATACACCACCCACAACTCCAACAGCCAATGACTTTCACAATATGTGAACTTTGAACAGATTGTCTTTACGCTCAACTAACGGTTATAGTAAAAGAAGGCTAGCAAATACAACCTGCTTTGAAATCAAAGTCCATGTATTTAAATGCAATCTGAGTTTTCCAAGTCATTGCAGCCAGATTTCAAAAAAACTATTTTTCTTGAAGGCTTGGATATGTAATTAAATGCTCCTCAGCTTTACAGTATGTACCACAAATTTAAATGTCTATCAAAGGTTTGATAAATCAAGCTTTCTGTATGTGAGAGATAGCAAGGATCATACAGAGGGTGTCCTTAAGAATACCTCTCCTGCCTTAAAAAATATAACACTGTTGCTCCTGTAAGCCTTCACTTGCCATTAATGGTAAGGCCTTTGTACATGGATGCACACTCTGCCCTGTGCTCTCCACTGATGTTCAAAAGTCTAATATTCTCAACAAGTGACAGGATCCTTGCATTCCTTTTTGTCAGAGCTACTGATCCTTCCTTTACACAGACAGCAGGATTCACCTTCCCTGTCCCTGCTGTATTATATAGGGGATCTTCCCACTCTTAGGCAGGCCATAGAGGAGTTGAAAACCAAGTGTTCTGTTGGTTGAAAAATAAAAATGGCGCATACGATTGTGCCATCATCTGTTTTGTTTTTCAAAACAAAGTCCAGCATGTTGGATCAGGCACTTTCAATAGCGACATGAAAATCAATTGTCACAGCTGGCGCACTAATTTTTGTTCGGTTTTTGACCCATCTATAGCCTTCTTTAAGGGTGCATCCTCCAACTTTCTAGCTTCCTTCATGATTTTCTTAATTAAATGGCAACCATGCTTAATTATTTAAAGTAAATGTTTCCTAGACCCCAGGTTACTACAGGTCATTGACATCTACATCAGAGCAGCTGTCATCAATATTGATCTCACTAGGTTTAACTCATTTCCATACATGCTTTTTCCTAGAAAAGGTGTCTATATTCTGCAGGTGGAGATAGGCTTTACCTCAGCAGAAAAAGCAAATGCTCATTGTAATCTCTCCAACATACCACACTGAACAATTCCCTCCTGTGAACAGTTCCCTTTATCTAATTGAACAATCCCCCTGTAAAAATAGGTCCCTTTATCTCTAATTCTTTGTCTGCAAACTCCTGCTTGGCCAGGAGACGTCTCGTCTCCTCTGTGTAGCGTGACACAGTATAAAACATATATTTGTTATTTGGCCATAATATTTAGGCTTGGATACCTAAATAAAACACCTAACTACTCCTTTACA